CAGGGGGTGACTCATTCTCCCGGTCGCAGCTTTGCTTCCAGCACAGAGGAGGCTTTGTCCTGGCCAAAGCCGGGGCCTTCTGGGGGTCCAGCTAGAGGTAAGGAGGGACTTCAGGCAGCGGTGGGGACAAGGGAGGTTTTCCTGTCAGACACCCAGCAAGCAAGTGCCCAGAACTCGAGGGCAGGAGGCAAGTGCCCAGCTCTCCCCAGAACTCGAGGACAGGAGGCAAGTGCCCAGCTCTCCCCAGAACTCGAGGACAGGAGGCAAAGAAGCAAGGACAGCGCCACTCTTTATTCCTCTCCCACCGCGGCCACACGTCCTGCTCTCTGGGCTGCACTGCAGTCTGCAACAGGGGAACGAGATTCCCACTGTCAATGGATGTGGACTCGCACAGCCCAGCGGTGGGCGGCTCTGTGCTGGTCTGAGCAGCTCCAGTGCCCGGCAGGGAGAAAGGGAGGGGCAGGCTGCCTCAAAAGCCAACACTGGGCTCTGAAGGGACAGCAGTGGCAGGATTCCTTTGGGGGGTTGGCGAGGGGGGCCCCTGTCAGAGTGGAGGCACGCCCCGGGCCCTCCGGATGAGGTTGGCCAGCCGCCTGGCCAGGCCGCCCTTGCTGGGCTCCTCGATGTGGAAGGTGCGGGTGAGGAGGTTGTAGAAGGAGCCGTAGCACACGGCCACCACGGTGCACGTGAGGCAGATGACGTTGTAGGGCATGCTGAAGTCCGGCGTCGGCAGGCTCACCAGCAGGGGCTCGGTGTAGAGGCGCATGAAATAGCTGGAGTCGTCCAAAACGGGGAACCTGCGCGGAGAGGCGGTAGACAGGGCAGAGAGGGTAGACAGGCTGGTGAGGCCAGGCTGGACTGCTGCCTCCCACCCCCCATTCACACATCGAGGTGAGGGTCTGCACCATTTTCGGTCCCCACGCCTGTTTGGCTGTGATCCATGGCCACAAGCCCCACGCTGCCCCCGTTTCAGAGCCCATCTGTGCTCCACAGTTCTCCATGACCGTGACCTGGCTGATGTACATCACCTCTTCCGTGGAGCTGTCACTGGGTGGATGTGAACCTCCACCCTTGCAATGAGATTAGGGGCCAAGGCCAAAGCATTCGCAGCACCCTGGGACCTCACCTTTTCAACAGGAGAAAGCTGGTAGGAAAGGCGGTGGAGGAAGGGGCCCTGCCGTCATGGCGGTCTCAGCCTACACGCCACCTCTTCAGACCAGCCCTCCTGGGAAGCCCCCTTCGCCACCTTCCCGCCAGCTCCAGCACAGACCCTCCCTCCAGACTGGAAGCCCCAGGAGATCACGGTAAGTCTGTTCCCAACACTGGGCGCCGCCCCGGGGGTGCTTCCCCAAGTGTCTGTAGGAGCGCAGTGGGATTCAGCCTAAGGTCCTGTGGAGTTCGGCACACCAGTCGTTAACATGGCCCTTGTCATCAGGGTTCTCCGTAAGGTGGGCAGCTGGGTAGCCGCCCAATGTGGAAGCCACAAATGGGCATTCGTTACTCTTTTTAACATTCATCTGAGCAACAGCGGTGTTCCGCTATCATGCTGAAATAAACTACCTTTCCGTGTGTCGTGTTTTCACCCTTCACATGGTCATGGGGCAGGGAACCGGCTGTTAAATATCTGAGCCACCACTGGATAAGGGCTCAATCACACACTAGGTAAGGGCTAGGAGGACTGCGGGG